TTTGCTCATGCAGCACTGTATAATTAGAAAAAATCAAACATTACAGTTGGAATCCGTAAACTAAGTTTCGTCTTCCCTATTTAGTTATTCATAAACTTAATATTACAACTTATAAACAGTGTCAGGAGGTTTTTGAGGATGTCATAGTAATCTCAGTGGTTGAGATCATGAGTCAATTGAAGCTAGACCACCATGAACCACCGTCCAGTACTTCCAGGTTTTTCATAGTGGTCTAGCTTCAATTGACTCATGATCACAACTATTGAAACTATAAAATGTGCATGAGCTCATTTAAGATCATCTATGAGCACTTCATGAATTCTAGCTTCGATTGATTAAATTTAAAATGTGATAAACAATACATGAAGTAATTCTACATTATATAATTCAAATAATCAACGAAGTCGTCTAAGTTAATTAATGCATTTTTTCAGTAGATTACATTATTCACCTATTTAAAAATATCTCAAATGTTTAGTTCTGATAAAGTTTTATTCTTATTCTTCTGGTATTTCATACTGTACACAATAATATTTTACCAAAAATATGACGAGTATGTAACTGAGATAAGTCGATATTTTTTAGCGAACATAGATATTTTGATGGTTGAATTCATGAAATTAGACATTAACATCGTTAAATGCTAGCCCAGTGGTCCAGAGGTTAAGCATTCACACGTAAGACCGAAGGCCTTGGGTTTGATTCCCGCATGTGGAATCGTGGATGCTCACTGTCGAGAAGTATCACACTAGGACGAAACGATAGTCCAGTGCTTTCAGCTTTTCTAGCTTAAATTGATTCATCAACTTGACTATTAAGATTACTATAATTTCTACAAACCCCCATACTAATAATAAACTTATATATTGTTATATTCCAGTTGTCTGATTGATAAAACATTACTTGTATAACAATCTTTATTATTTTAAAAGTATTTTAGAAATTTCTCAAATGATAAATCCTGTTACATTAACCTACATTTACTTCTACAGGAATTTAACTAGTCTTAGTACTTTTCTATTTGAATAAATGATTTTTGACATGATTCAATGAATCAAATTAGTTAAAATAAAATCTATGTTCATACGGATATTTGTCAGTAATAAACAAGATTGTTGAACAGAACGTCAGAATTATTTAAATTTCAGTTGCTGAAAGACTTTCATATATAATTTTCTTATATAAATTATGTGTTAGTCTAAATTCAGAGTAATCACAATGCAAAGAAACCCTATAACTTTAAACCAACATAGAATATCTAAACAAAATATCTTAACTGAATCTTTAAACTAAGTTCTGTTCACGGCAACTAATCAAAATATTTGTTTTCGAAGAGAGTTAATTTTGATGAAATGAATAATTTATAGATTATTCGAAAAGATAAAGGAAATCACATGATTCTAGTAACCAATTATTTTTTAATCAAAACATTTTGCTTAGTAACACAACTTTGTATCTAATTAATTAATTAATTTAAATCATGTAAATGACCCTATACATTATAAACAAACCACTTGGTTTAATGACTTATTGAACGATTTATGTGATATGCTCATTTTTTCCCCCAAAATTCAGTTGTCTATAGTTTTTCTTTTAACGGTATTTCTTTGATAAATTATTTTGAAGATATAAATTTAGATTTTCGTTTGCCTTGAAACATGTAAATTAGTTCTATCCTGGTTATTCATTTTCTAGGGACATTTTAATTTATACCAATTTATGAAATAGGGTTATTTGTTGTTATGCTTTAGATTTACAAAAATGCAAATGAATGTACATAATAGTTTATATACTTTGTGGGCTTGATTGTTTACCTTTGGTAAACTATGGTAACATGGAAAAAATCTGTCCTTGTTTCAGTTGAAAGAGTGCATCATTAGAAAGCTAAATTTTGGAAGTTATGTAATCTAAGTTGTTTAAGAAATTATAATGTTAGACTAATTCTACGAACAGGTGTTGTATATACATGAGTTTAGGCTTTAATAAATAAAAGAATAATACCGTGGTAAACAGCATAGTAAGAAATGACAAGTGTGATTATAACTCCTACGAAAACTGTGATAGTATACTATACAAAACACAATGATTTTATCTTGATATTTTTGCTAATAATATTTACTGGTTTTAGTGGAACTGAATTCTGATTGTTGTTACCTGAGAATGCAATTATGTAATAAGAAAAAATGTTTTGTATTAATATTTTGGGTACGAACGACTCCATTCAGTTAAATAATACAAATGATCTAGTTACTAGAATGTTAACTTGGTATTATTAAGATCCAAAAGTTCTTATTTTTCATGTCTAAACTTAGGTATCCATTATATTAACTCATTAATATTGGTTGTTTGGATCTTCCGATTGATGTTTAGGACTATAATTAATCAGTCTATTTTGGCATATGTTCATTGAACAGCTTACATAAGTGAATTAAAATTCATCTGGTTATAAAAGCCAGTAACTAACTGAACTCAATAGCTAAATGGAGGACACGATGGCGTTTGAAGCTAACGATACTGGGTTTTGAGTCCCGAAATGAACGTCATCTCTGGGATACGGTGAAAGTCTTCTGTGAAATCTCAAATAGGACAAACTGCTCACTCTGGATCTTACTACTATCCGCTATCCATCTGTGCTTATCATCCATAAAATTATCTCACATAGACCGTTAATTCGTGAGGACGGCCCATGAGTGAACTCGAGAAAGCTCTAAGAAGCTCAGAAAGATCAAAGATATTCCATCTAATCATCTTTTGGAAGAATGTTCCAGAATCTCTACATGTAGCTTCCTTTTTGGACAAATGCCCAAAACTCCTGTATGCGGATCGGATGACTATAATCATGATTTTGTTTTTACTAAAAACTATAAATATCTGAGTGTTTTGTACCGAACTTGATACTATTTAGATTAGCATTTCTTTCACTTTTCTTCTATCTCATCATATGCAGTTTAGAGGATTCTAGCGTTCCAGTGTACAAATTCTACCCGACTTATTAAGAATCTAAGCTCTAGATATAAAATAATTTTAATTAAAAATATAACTCTTTATTCCATAGTTTAATGATTAAGAATGAAAGATAACATATAGGAAGTATATTTTTAGTTGATAATCAATATTTAATCAATAAAAGTTCCCATAACATAAAATTTTTTTCCAAAAAAGAAATAAATTTTAATTTAATTCTATAATTAAAAAAAAGACTTGAAGTGAAAATAATTTAATTATTAATAATTTGATATTTTAGGGACATTAGCCTATATATATATATATATATATACGGATATATATGGATATATATGGATAATAATCAAGTTGGTATTCTATTATGTTTTAAAAAATTGCACATAAAACTAATTAACTATGACATTTTGATTAGATTATGTAAAACACTTAAATATACTAAGTCAAAAATAGATTATGGATAGATATGCAAAAAGATAAAATGATCTTAAGAGTTTTACACTGATAATTTAGAAACAGTGAACTATGTATAGAAAGATTAAATGCTGTTTTAATGTTGTTTTCTTTTTGAATGTAGGATCTAGTGCAATTAGGTAGTAAAAGAAAAAATTCATTAAATTCATATTGTCACAATTACATGAACATGAAAGGATGTACAATGAGATTTATTCGTTTTTATTGTTGTTTATGAGATATTTATGAAATTTCTATGATCTCTATGTACACAATTATTAAGAATAAAAAACATGGTGATTATTAAATCTTTCAAATTACACTCAGATGTATAGTAACTATTTCTTTCTTTTTGTTTTGTACACTTGACAATTTGTTCAATCATGTTTTATAATGATTTGAATCTTCTATTGATATTAAGGACTAGAATAGATGGTTTCCTTTTAGGTATACCTATTTAGGAGTTATCAACTGGACGTGTCTACATCTTAGTGCTTATGAACAACTCAAGACATAATACAGATACCTTTCGTCTAAAACATCCAGAGAGTTATTTGTCGAGATATTGAATCCAGATAGACATCAACTTGTGTATTCAATTATATCAATGATAAACATTATTTTCAAATTTTAATTTTATCTTTTATTCTTCATTGATCACTAATAGTGATTTATGCAGATTATTGGCAAAGTTTTATTCTACATTGTATCGACGTAGTACCTGTTTATGTACATATAATCAATATATTTAAAGATAAACTGTAAAGAGTACATTAATATATGTATAATTTCATTATTTTTACTACCCTTTCACTCATTCCTAATTTTTCACACTTGAAGCTAATACTAAATTCAAATACTTCTACTTTTAATTCTAATCATTTGGGTAAAATCTGGTGCATGGATTTTTTTTATATTTTACCTCAGTTTTGAGATGAACTTATGGACTGATTGATCAGTTGGTGATATTGTTATATTTTGTAACCTAGTTTTTATAGAGGACTTTTGAATCAACAGTTTTAATTCCTAAACTTAGTGTAATTTCTTTAATTTTATAGATTCAATTAACTGTAAAGTATAAATTTATTTTATTAGTTGAATTCATGAGTAAATCTGGGCTGGATCACCATTGAAAACTCAGAAACACTGAACGTCCGTTTCGTTGTACTATGGGACTCCTCAACAGTGATCATTCGCAATCCTGTACTGGGGACTTGGACCCAGGATGAAACAGCGTCCAGTGCTTCCAGGTTTTCAATGGTGGTCTATCTTAGATCGACTCATGAATTCAACCACTAAAATTACTCCAATCTCTACAAACCCCCATTCTGATAATAAATTTATTTGATTGAAGCCAGTACCGATACAGTGATGACTGTTGTATAAATAAAGTTAGCCAAAAAATGTAACTCTATTTACCTATTACACATTATGACCTTACAAGTGCACATAAGACGACCGCAATCACTATTATCATAATTTTTTGATGAAACTTTACAAAACATGAAATGTGAAAACGAAATACTTTTTTGAACAGATATGTTTGATTTTAAGTAAAACTGTAAGTTAAAATAATGCTTTCTTACCACTCCTAGAAGTTGTTGTTCCACTAAAGTTTTCATCTGCTTGACTTGGAGATTTATGCATACTTTGTGAATTCAACAGAATAGTTTCCATTAAGTTTTTTATAGTGTTATTGCTTGTGCTATTCTGAACTTGTGATTGTTTTTGTTTTTCAAGCAGCAAATTTTGAATTTTAGGATCTTGAAGTTGTAACTGCATAAAATTACGATATAATGTATCATTAGTAGATAATGAACTTTGTGTTTCATTGTTATTTGTTGCATTTTCTAAAACAGGCGATTTCATATGTAATGCAATCTGAGCTAAACTTTTGGCAATCTCACCCAGTTCAGGATGTTGAGATTCAAGAAGTTGTAAGTCTGTTTCCATTTGATTGGAAGTGTTATCCGGATTCTTGTTCATGAGTTAATGTATTAATAATAAGTTTTATTAAGATATCAATATATATATGCAATATTTAATCTCCAAAAGTATATAGCTGGTAATAAGTAAATAAACAACTTAATCCGACCTTTATTTTCGTTGAGGACATTAAGTGAATAAATTAAAATTAGCCAGTTACATGTAAGGTAATATAGCAACCTTGATTCTGTATTTTGATTGGCTTTTAACAACGGAGTGATAGCAATTGGTTTATATGTAACATATTTTAATAAATAATAAACATCACGCATTTCATGAGGAATAATAATAATAAGGAGATTTTGGTTATATATTGTGTAAAGTAATTGTTGGTGGGACTTATTTTAATGTAGTATGAATCAATACCTAATGGAGTAACGGCAAATCTGAGAAAAATAGAGCCAACATTATAAATATTCTTTTACTGAATAATAAAATAGAAAGTCATTTTACTAATTCAGTTATTTTCACATTATAGTTAGTTGTTAATCATATTTCAAACTGATAGAATGGCTGAATGACATGGTTTTGTAATGACATGATACGGTAGTTAACAACTCAACTTAACTCTAAATATCATAAAGATTCGAATTTCAACTAATCATCTTTGTTTCAATGTACATAAAAAGAAATGAACAACCTTAAATCTCTCAAATTATCGTTCTTTGTTCGTTCTCTCAGTATTTATAGTGTATTATTAGAAGACAATCAGAGTGGGAATTGTACACTGATGATGACATGATATTGTTATAGTTTTGTACTTCGTATTTGCTATTCAAAAATTATTTTCCCATATGCTGCTTTATCAGTAAACAAAGCCTATTATTTATCCGAATTTATAAAAAGTAGTTACTTTTCTGTTCTTATTAATTTCTATGAGAATGACTTAACCATCTTCAACTGATTAAGATGAGTTGATGATAGCAAAGGGTATCTCTTAAGGAATAAAATAGACGTTAACAAAATTCGTAATGACCATATCATTTCTTCTCAATTTCACCACTTTTATAGAAAATTAGTTGTACAATATATTCTGTGAATAATATTCGTCTATTTTTAAAGTTAAATAATAAGTTGGCTGGATGTGCTCTATTTTACTTATCATTGACTTACGTGAATAAAATTTAAGTACATTGATGTGGTCTAATATCACTTCATTTATACCACTTTGGATTATTCACTGACGTTAGTCGTCCTAGGGGAGTTTCGAGTGTGGTTGGTTATCTTAAATCAATATGTCACAGGTTTTTGGATTCGTGTCTAAATACATTAGAAAGTTGTTGGGTTTTTTTCCTGAAAAGGAAAACAATTGATTTTCTAAGAATCCTTTATAATACTATTTACAAAAGCTAATCACTTGTAGATGTTTGAAAATAATGAATCATAGAGAATCGTAAAGTTTTTGTCAACGGCTAAAGGAGTTAATTAAATAAATATGCATTTTGTTAATTAATTTCATTTCCGCTTGCATTAATAGTTGTTATGATTTCATTAGTTAAACCTGTGAATTATAGAGTTCAAAAATTAAAATTATGGTCGTCTTCATGATAGTCTATGAAAATTTTGAGTGATGACATACATCCATTTAATTTTGAAGTGAAAGTTAAATTCAGGTTACGACCAAAAAAGTTACATGTATTTCCATGTGCCATTTCTGTTTTTAGAGTATGGATTCCTGGCTGAACGTTAGCGGATGAGAACTGTTGAGGAGTCTTAGACGAAACAGACGTCTAGTGTTTCTAGGTTTTCGATGGTGGCTTGAAGTTGGTTGGTTAGTTGTTTAAATTATGAAAGAACGTTTCAGAATTGCTACCATTGTATAAACTAATAAAGAAATATGAAGACTACTGTATTAAATCCTAAAACAATTTCCAGCTAAGTGGACGTAGTAACATGATTTTCACTGTTATTACACTTGTCAATCCATAAACTCGATAACCCCAATACACATTATATACCAGCTGTTAGTTTAATATATATCCACTAAGAGTTTTATGAGATTCATCACTAACTAGGTTGATAGAGCTAAAAAAAGTGAATTGATAAATTCAGACATATTGCGTTTTAGGAACATGGTTAACGATTGGGATGAGGAATTAAACATATTAAGCATTCTGAATTTCAGATTGAAGTAGTTTCTCAGTGAGGACATAATATATTTTTATAAAACTGGCTAAATTTGAAGTGCTTATATTTTTACAAGCCAACTGAGAAATTCAGTGGTATGTTTCTTGAAAAACCCATGTAACATTAATTCATTCATGTTTTTTCTAGTTGTGTAAACACAATTCTGAACAGTTCACAATTAGAATAAAAGAGCTATTTAGTGAATTCACGCTTTTAAGCATTTTCAAGATAATATCAATCTCCAACGTTAAACAAATTAACTAATCTCAAACGTTTAACTTTATAGTAAAATCAGTTATTTACAGGGTTGATAAGCTTATTTTTCAATAAGAGTTAAGTTTAGGTAACAAATGAAACTATGTCGTAGATCTACAAAACATCACATCTGAACTTTTATCATTATCATTGTTTCTACAAATCAAATTAAGTTAATATTAATAAAAACTATTTTTCTTTTTAAGAAAATTGTAACGCTTATCACTTATACTCGAAACGAGGGACCTTGGCAATTCCTATGACACGAAAGTAAAAACATAAAGACTGATATAAGTGATGATTTATTAACCCCAAAACACGACGACGACAACGACGACTCGAGTAGAAAATACACTCACTTATATATTGATTGTACACACAATTAGATTATTAATTAAGATGAAATCACATATATGAAAAATACTCAGTTATAACAAATCACATATTGAGCATAGTTCATGTCAATGGAATAGACGAATATCGCATATTATACGGAATAGAATATCATACGAGAAAAGAAAACAAATACTACATAGAATAATCATTACATTGAATCAAAACGGAAGTAATCTTGAACAATAACCCATAATGAGTAAATCAATCAAATTTTGAATTATCTTCCTGTCATCTCACCTCACCTTCTTTTTTGAAGACTCAAGGTTTAGATCTTGACTTTATATTTTTCTGACTTTATCCCCCCTCCCCCACAAAATAATGTCGGGTTTTCATATTCCCAAGTTACAGTTAGTGTGACTTTTTTAAGAACATATTTCCCGTATTGAACAGAGTACACTAGAATTGACTAGATGGTGAGAATCAACGACGTTTGATATGAGACCATTAAGGTTTGATTCTTTTGAAACATTTTAGTCAAATTTCTTGAAAATCATACGGGGAAACAAAACCGAATACTACACTGAATAATCATTACAGTGAATCAAAACGTAAGTAATACTGAGCAAAACTCATAAGGAGTAAATCAATCGGATTTTGACATTTCTTTCCATCATAGCATATCATAACAATAAGTTAAAGTTCATTATGTAACCAATGATGGATCGTCCTGTGCGTAACGAAACGCGCTTCCTAGATTCCACTGCTAGCCACTATCCATCATTGTTTACAAAAAGCTTGTGAATTAAGGCAATATCGAGGCATACGCACAGTATGCACATATGCCAATAACAGACTGATCAATTGCAGTCTTAAACCTCATTGGGAAGATACAAGCCAAATACAATACCAAGTGAATTTAAAGTTCATTCTATACATAATAGTTCTAGTAAGAAAATGATGTGATTTCTTGTGTTTAATGTTTTATCAGTTTACTTTCTTATTTGAATAACAAATTTTGTTTTCTTTTTTTACATTCATCATTGAATGATGTAAAAAAATTTTTCTTTTTTCTTTTTGATCGTGGAATTTTATTCTACCGTAATTTTTTCTCTTTTTTAATGTTTCAATTCAATTCTTAATCACAATTGAACTGAATAGTGATTGTGTTGTTTTTTTGTGTGGCTAATTAAAACAAGAATAAAAGTATGATTATTATTATATAATCGACTTTTACTTTTTAATATGAAAGTTAATTAAGTTTTTTTTCTTTGTACTAATTTATGTTCATCGTCAATGAAGCAATGAGTAAATGTTAATTTTACAATTAGATTATGTAGGCGAAACATCTTAAGGCTATGAAAAATTAATGAATTCTATACACTATGAATAAAACATCTTAAAAATAATGATTTGTAATTCTGTATTTCATGTATGTCAGATTCTTCTTAAGGCAGATTGAATTCTGTCAAACAAGTTGCTATGTGACTAATAGTCTAGGTTGCTCAACATTACTCACAGTCGGTTGAGATTTTAGATAGTGATTAGAGATAGCCAACCTAAAACGTTATACCTAGGTTTTATGGTACGTGCCATTGGTTAACACATGATATTGGACGCTACTTATCGGTCGAGCAATCTTAATTACATATCAGTCCTACAAAAGGTTAGTTGCGGCCCGAATAACTCAATGGTAGAGTCTCTGACTGTGAAACTGCTAGGCACAGCATTGAATTCACCAGTGTATCATCTCCCTTGAGATTACGGATACATTCTGTTAATGAGTGGTAAATAGCACGAAAAATATGTCCAGAATTTCTTGTCGACTACTTCCAACCACCGTCTTATTTCTGTGATATACATTTTACTGATTTAAAAGTGTAAAGAAAACGACAAGGAACTGTTGAAGTACAGTATATTTGTCTTTAGCAGTATTATATTGGTTTTAATCAATTAAACTTACTTCGATGTGTAAATATGTATGTATTTTTGTTTGTAAATTTAAATATCAGTTTTCAATAGTTAATAATATTATTGTTTAAAGCAATTAGTCCCTTTTAATAATGTAATAAGAAGACGAAGATTATCAGGACTATGTGTTCTCACCTATATGTTTTGACCTTAAACCGACCCTGATAATATTGGCTTATTATCCAGAGTGATTAGGTTTCAAATTGTGTTCACATTATTATTATTATTAACCTTGTCTCCTCTTACCCCATTTCCAGCCTAGTTGGCCTTTTATTTTTAATGTATAAATGCTCTTACCAAGTATATGTGTGATCAGATTGTCCAAAATGTATTGCGCTAATATATCACATAGTTCTGATAGTCTTATTATTATTATACTATCGAAATATTATTGTTATTTGGATGTTCCTAAAATAAGTATGTCTGTGTATATA